TGTCTTTAATTAACTTGGTTGTAATCATAAATCAGACTCTTCTATTTCAGCCCAACCACTGAGAGAAGTGCCTCTGGTGGATATGTTCGCTACTGCAAATCGGAAGGCGTCGGTAAATGGTAGGAATGGCGAGTCATATCAGAACACCTTCTTTTCAACATTAAGGTGGGAAGACAGGGGTAAGAACTTGTCCACCTCTATGCCTGCTGAAGTATTTCATGTTTCTAGACCAATTGTTTTCTGACGCCACAAGCAATGCGCCAGTTTCACAGCCAAGTCAGACTACCGTACCAGAAGAAGAACAGCCTGTGGAACCTAAGTTAACGACAGCTGTAGGAAACTTGCTGAATTTGAGCAGTTTCGATTCTGATTCGTTCGTCAAATCGCAGCCAGGTTCTGCCGCTGATTCGGTTAAAACTGTGGAAGAAATAAAGTCAGAAAATTCTCAAAAAAGGGAAAACCTACGGTTGCCACTGGTAGTCGAAGGAGTAAATGATTTTTCAGAGCAGTTATTTACCAGTGACGTCAACATTCCACCAGCAGACAGCGAAAGGTTGCTAGGAACAGCGGATTCCTGCGCGAAGAGCGATAATGATGATTTGCTGAAAGAATGGACACCCGCCACGCTGCTAGAACAACATGCCGCCGAAGGAAGCAACCTTTCAATTACGAACGCATTCGTGCGTAACTTCAGCACCCCTGCTTTCACCGCTGACCGAAATGAGGCAAAATTGCTACCCCCGCAATCAGCTGCAGACCCATTCCAAGAATTGGGCGGTTTGATGAACAGCCAATTCTTCTCAAACGACCAAAATCGTCCGACGGCCGTTGTTGGCGCCGCTTCTGAACGCAAAAAGCCTATGATTCATCGTGGATTGTCTTCCAGCTCTTCGAACTTGACGGAGATCTATTCTTCCTACGGTGATTCTGATGCTTCGACATTTAAAGCGCAAACCACCGTTCATGCGAAGACCCCAACATTTACCCACGCACCGTTTCCTCATTACAACAACGAGTCTTGGTCGTCATTTGTAGGTACGGTTTTCTTGTTGTTGGCTGGTCTGGTGGTTGCCGAGCTTACTATTTTAGTAAGTACTATTTGCCTTTACTTAAATCTTTGATTTTCAGGCAAGACCAAGATCGACAGCGATGCGTTCAACGATCTGCTTGATTTCCAGGGTTTTAAGGTGAATAACAGCTGCAAGGGAAATGTGTCACTGGCTTCTATGAAGCACGAACTTCAGCTGACCACGATGAGTCCCGATGAATTAAAGGTGACTCACTTGCGGTCATAGGTAACTGTATTACGAATTTGTATTCATCGGCATCGGTTTCAGGTTCACGAATGGACCGAAGGCAAAAGAAGAAACATCCGCGGTCTGCTTTGTTCACTGCACACGATTCTTTGGCCAGAGAACACAAAGTGGGAGCAGGTCAGCATGAGTCAGTTGCTGACCGCTGCTCAAGTTAAGAAATTTTATCGCAAAGCGTGCCTTGCTGTTCACCCGGACAAGGTACTAACATATGTTTTGTTTGTTTGCACTTTTTGTACGCGTTGGGGTGCCTCATTAGCCATAACGGCAACTGAAGTTTTCAGTTCACTTGCAGAGATGACGTATATTATGTGCTATGAAATTATGATACTCTTCCTAAGTGTCTCTCATGCGGTTGATGATGGGTATCAGCGTGTGATAAAATATCAACATTTCTAAGCCTGCTCATGGGTCCCGTACTAAAATTCTGAAATATTGTTATTCGAGGTTACCGAACCTCGAGCTTAAGAAGTAGATTTCTAAGGTAATGTATTTCGCGGTCTGGCCTTCGTTACCGCTGAGTATTGTAATGATTTGTTGCAGCGACATTTTAGTTTTATTCAAACTTATCACGGGCCGTTCCTGACTGACAAGTTCGTGTCCAATGAATCGTTTTTATGCTTTGCATAGAGCGTTTTTTGTCATAGCACTTTCATGAACAAGTTTGCTACAGTTAGTTTCGTGCTGGACCAGTCGGGTGGAGCTATTGTAGTCATGGTGAGCGGCTGTTGAATCAGTTCAGAGCTGCCAATTCTCAACTACTAATGTGAAGATATTTTATGTTTGTTCGTTCATTCTGTGAAACAGTGAATGATCACTTTGCGCAAACTTCAGTAGGCCATCGTATTAGAGCTTATTTCGTCATTCCTTTCACGATTCGCACTGCTTAATTTGCTTCATTCAAATGCCTGTCAATTTTTTTGCACGACAGGTTTGTTTTGAAGCCGGAGGTCATTTCTCTGCGGCATACTACACGAATACGAGTATACCGTAGTAAGTGGAACTGTTTACTCTCATAGAAGAGCCTGCAAGTATATATAGGGTTACGCACAGTCAGCATTGGCTATTATAGGTACAGGTCAGCCATTACGATAGTCAGTATTGTCACCACCAGCAGCTACCAAGATTTGACTTATAAGGCGTCGTGGATAATAAACCGTTTTTTCTGCTGTTGTTCAGTGTGGTGCCAACGTTTTCAGATTTGTTTGACTCTTTGTTTTCTAGCTAACAGGAACTCCGTACGAGTCGCTGTCGAAGATGATCTTCACTGAGCTGAACGATGCTTGGAACGAGTTCGAAAATGGCAATGAGCTGCAGTTGCGTTAGTGGCCGTTTTTTCCCGTTGATTACCATTCTTTCAGTGACGGGTTCATTTGAGTTCTCTCGACCTGTAGCAGACGTTTCGTGACATTCTGGCGTTAACTGCACCGTTGATTGGTGTCGTCCATGTCTGGTTTAATGTCAACGTGCATTCGGTTTTGAACTCCGTTTCGTCTGTTCATTTTTTTCATATTTCTACCGTTTGTTCGAGATTTCTACTTTTGTCGCTATTTTGATTGTGCAGTCAGCATGTGTGCATTTTACTCGTGACATAAGCCAGCGGTTTCCTAATAAATGTTTTTTCCCTTGTTAAACAACAAATATTTTTTCTGATGCATTCTTTCATTTTTTTTCAACAGAATTAAAAGTCTATGTTTATTATGTTTTACTCACGAATTCTTTATGATTCCGCTTCGTACTTTGATTATCCTTATGAGTGGATGTTTAAACGCAAATTGGAATTATGAACATTGGCTTCGCATGTTTTCCAGCTCGGCGATAAAGAAAATTAGCATTTCTTTATGAACCCAGAATATCAGTATGTATGTTTATGCTTAGTCTTACGGATTGAGTTGTATTGGTTTGTCAAAATGGTTTTTTAGATGTTGTGATACCTTAACCGACGAATGAAGCTCGGTCTATGTACTTTTACATGCATACCGCTATTCTGGGTTTACAGGGCAATACAAGTTTTTAATACCGCCCGGTAGAACAACATTTATCCCTTCTAGATTCTCATTATTTTCATTAGGCTTTTGATATTTAGGCATTTTTCTTTTCGGTAGAATATAATGACATGTTTTGCATGTATACACTTAATGTACTTTTACGCCGTGGGAATCTGGTAAACGGCATGTTTATAAGGAAGCTTATTCAGTACCAGTTTTATGTACTGTTGTTATTTAAAGTAAATAATTGCCAATACGGTGCTTAAAATAAAAAAGTTGTTTAAATTAGTTTTTCAGTTAAATTGTTGTGACTCTAGCCGAAACGGCAATAACTGTTTCACTTTGCAGATTCTTAGCACTTTGTTTTTGCATTCATTATCGTCATCTTTTCAGCTTGTGCCTGAAACTTAATTGCAGGCTTCCAGTTGCTTCAGCAATAGTCACCTTAGCCTTTATGTAGGCACAGCAAAATTTTGAATTGTTTAATTTTTGAAATTTATTTAAGAGTGGTCTCTGTTTGGCTGGTATTCAACCCATACGCTCAATCTCGATGCCACGATATCTTCTGTTTTTTTCTTATATAGGAACTCGGTTCAGCGGAGTTCAGGTTCAGCCGAACACTTTCACCGTTCAAGGCGTTTTAGAGGTTCGTATGATCGCATATGCGAAATATTTACGAATTAGTATTAATCAGCCAGGAATTCTGCACTTAGCTGCAGTTACATTATGCTCTGCTTTAACATGTGAATACTCTTAAATATTCAAATGAATCTAATGATGAACTTTAAAGAGACCGGTTTTCTACTATATTTGACATTGCTCAAACAGAAATCGATGTGTGTATGTCGATGTCATCAGTTCATTCACTTTCAGTGGCTGCAGTTTTGTTTCGGGTGTAGTGACTGCAGCTTCAGGAAGCTTTTCCAGTGCATTCAGTCCAACGAAAGTCGAGTAATTTTTCTGGGCTTTGTAGTCTCACGACAGTTCTAAGTGTTCTGCATAATTGAGTCATGTTGTCCACGGTCTATTACTAGTCCATCATCCACGTGGCCTTGCTGAAATGGTTCGCCTTGAGAATTTTTTCTGTGGCATCCGTATACGTGATCGAAACAAATAGACCTAAAATATTTTGAAGGTCCTTTCAGTAAGTTTCTCAAGTTTTTTAAGGGTAACGAATATCGTACTTGAAGAAGGAGGTCATCGACAAGTACATGAAGCCGTTGCTCATCTATGGATTCTGAACATAACTGTAGCGCAGTAACTACTGAACGTATGGTGAATTATAGATTTGTGTATGACAAGGATTTCAAGAATGACAAGTAAAAGAAATGGGTGTAGTTGCATAACCTGTCTCTTACATGAATATATCGTAATGCTTTGAAAAAATATACCATAGAATCTGTAGTTCTGTCGAAGGAGGCTGTCGATCTAAAATGTCTGTTATTCAACTCATGAATGAAACGTACAACCATTTTATGGTTTTCATTAGATTATCGTTACGTGAGAGTACTATTTTCAGATTACGAAGTTTGGTTGACTTCCTGTGATTGATATGTTCTTCATTCATTTTTATTTTCTGGCCCTCTGTTCCTTTCTGATCAATGGGCAGCTGTGTTAGAAGGCCTTTCCAATGGGCCCAATTTGTCGCTATGTACAAGCTCAGTGATATGAATTGTGATTCCAAGACGCGACAGTGCAAAGCCTGTATAATCGAGCGATCAGTGCGATGTTTGCGTCTGGTCGTCTTGTGGTTTTGCCAAGGGAGTGCTCATGGTGAGTCAGGAATCTCTGATGTTTTCCTTATAACATGTTCATACCGTCGGAAGCGTGATTTATTCTCCGGCGATCAAAGAGCGGCTCGCAAGGAAGGTAACTCGAACTACCGTGTTCGGAATTTTATCCGTTTTCGTTGTGCTAGTAATCCTTCAAACAAACGTAATTTTTCCGCTTCACTCTCACATCGAACATTTTTGGTCCATATTCTGAACTGATGACAATACGTCAGAGTAGATAGCTTTGAAGACAGTTTTCTATTACTACTCAACCCCATTATCACAGAATTGTTTAGCCGTCACGTTGCAGTAGTCACCTAGCCGATCTCTATGTGTCTACGTTCGTGAATGCTACTTTGAGATACTTAAATTTCTCTTTTTGCTGCAAGCTGCGTTTCACTTAGTTACAGAGCACTTTTAATGACCATTGTAAATAGTCAAATAGCATTGGTTTTGGTTAAGCTGATTTTTAACCCGGATCCTGGCCTCATCACATTTATTCATTCATATTCTCCTGAAAGCCACCTGCTATTGTTAATGACTGACTTATTTTAAGTGCATTTTAGTCTGTTCTGAGCTTCGTGGTAAAGGCGAATGATGATAAAGCATTACGACTGAAGATCAGCAGTCGAACGGACACCGGAGTTCACGCTTTGATCAACACAGCCGTTGTTGATTTGCCTCCAACAGCTAGCTTCATCAACTCAGACAATCGCCTCTGTTCTGAAAACCCTCCGCTGATAGTCGCCAAAGCGAACAGTTTACTCTCTCGCATCAGCGTCCCAGTCAGGTACGAGATTGTCGCTTGATGAAAGCTGAAAATTTTATGTTTAAACATGATGTTAATAACTTTTTAAATGTTACCGATAGCGTGCCAATGACGAATGTAAGATGATTTATCTTATGCTTCTTTGGTTAGCATAATGAAGAAATGAAAACGTTCTTTGTTTTAAGCAGATTTAACGTTTAGACCGGTTTTACATTGGTTATCATGGGAAAATGAGAATTGACGTTATTGGCGGTTTATAGCTGTTGCCGTCCAGGATGAG